CAAAGGAAAGGAAGCTGCTAATGGTGTTTTTGAGGTGGGTTGGATCCTTTTGGGCAAGAGCAGTGTTTCCCAATATGTATTATGTAGAATTATAGTCTCATGTAGATTATGTTTCCAGGGTCAAATAAGAATGGGAAGTGTACCATGTTATATTCGTTTCTCACTTTAGGAAGTCACATGCCTATGAGATATTTAAGGCTCTAAAAATATTGTGAGAATCAACTCTTCTCCTGTTCATGCTTGCTCATGGGTGATTCCTTCATTTTCCCATAGAAAAGATTTTTTTTTAATGTTTATTTATTTATTTTGAGAGAGAGAGAGAGAGAGAGAAGGAGGAGCAGAGAGAGAATCCAACCAGGCTCTGTGCTGACAGCATGGAGCCTGACACGGGGCTTGAACTCATAACCTGTGAGATCACATCCTGAGCCGAAATCAAGAGTCAGATGCTTAACCAACTGAGCCACCCAGTCTCCCCACCATGAAAAGGGCTTTTTTAAAAGATGTGGGGGCTCATGGGTGCCTGGGTGGATCAGTCAGTTGAGTGACTTTTGATTTCAGCTCAGGTCATGATCCCAGGGTCGTGGGACCGAGCCGCCCATCAAGCTCCATGCCTGAGGATGGGAGCCTGCTTAAGATTCTCTCTCGCACATACACTCTCTCTACCCTTTTTTTTTTCCTCTCTCTCTCTCAAAATAAAAAAAAAATTAATTAAAGTATTTGGGGGTGCATATATATATATCAACTTTGGACATGCGTGAAATAGTGAAATGCTTACTTATAATATTTAACTTATAAATTTAAATGAACATAGGTATTCATAATGACATACATTAGAAAAATCTATATATTTAGAAGTACTACTCCTTTCTTGAACTCAAATTTCTCAAGTTTTTTTCCCTGCTCACACTTTATGAGAAAGGCATCAGTGTTTTCCTCATTACTGGGATTGCTTTATGGGCCTCTAACAGCTTTCTAGAGCACTTATCTCCTGACTAGTTTGAGGCATAGCATGTTTTGAGTGTGTATCATTGGTCACATTCAAATCTTTAAAAGACATTTTCTTAAAACAATTGAATTTGTGAGGGTGTATTCCTAGGAATAATTACTAATTTTTGTTAAATTTACTTGCCTTCTATTCAATGGTTTTGTCAGGTAACCTCTACAAATTAGGCACCTCAAATTAGCAATGATTCAGCTAATGGGTCTATCTTAAGTAGAACATTGTTATTTAAACTGCAACAATTATCAGAGAGCCCAATAATAGAAAAGGCTGTGTAAGAATCGGAATATATAACAATTCTTTCTTTTCTGAGGGATAGCTTGAAATAAAATGGTCTCGTATATATATTTTCTATCCTAGCATTCCGTGTGTGTGTGTGTGTGCGCGCGCGCGCACCTGCGTGCACACTCAAGCACACAAGTTGAAAAACCCATTTACATCTGGGATTGACTCTCTTGGCAATGATGGGCTAGTGGATTGCTGTGGTCATCAGGTTTTTGGTGGGAACAGGCCGCCAGTAAGTGCTACAGTTGAGAGCTTACGGTCAAAGATTTTCACATATAACCTTATTTATTTCTTGTGTTTTCTTGGTCATTTTATTTTGGTTCTCCCTCAAAATTTAGCAAGTCTTTAAAAAAATCATGGCTGAATCATTCCCATGACTTGAGACACTTGACGCAGAGCTTTAAGGGAGGATGGATCCTCCATCAAGGTCAGGATGGCAGTGGGTTGGGAGCAAGACTACAGAAGAACTGTTAGGGAAGAGTAAGGGCTAGTGGATACAGAGTGGCCCCTCTTACTCTGTCATCACTTTCTCCTTGGAGTCTCAACACTGACTTCCCATTGCAGTCTCCCTGGAGATTACTACGTGATGCCGCCTGAAAACATTTAAGTCACAATCTGTAGGAGTGGACCCCAGGCATTAGTAATTTGCAGTCTTCCCTAGGGTTGACAGGGATCAAACCTCTAAGAAGGCCATCAGTCCCCTTGTATCATCCCCCTGAAAATGTGGGGAGTATGAACTGTTGGAACTAGAGGTTGGATCTGCACTGGGAAAGCATCTGTATAACGTGTTCTCTTCCTCGGTGTATCTCTTCCCCCTCCCAGTCACTCTTAATGTTCCCGTCATAGAGTTAGATGCAGAAAGCCCTGGCATTGCCAGGGTGGAGAAGCTGCATACTCCTGATTGGATGGGATGTTATTGGTAATAGGCAGTCTCATTTCTGAATTGGAGTGCTGGGAAAGCATATTGGCTAATGTTTCAGTCTTTTAGTTACATTTGTATCTTTGACAAGTGCTTGCAGTTGGGGCTATACAATCCCTTGTGTCTCCATTTCCCTTCACTGGAGCAAGCTTCCTCTCTGTATTATTTCCTCTGATGGGAAAGAGAATCTGCAGTGGCCCTTTTTCTCAGCCACCCGTTGCCTCCTTGTGAGTTGTAAAGAGGGCACAAGAGAGAAAAGGAAGGGAAGACTAGAGTCCTTCTCCAACTGAAGTGGCTTGTTCAGAAGGCAGTCAGTTTTAGAGACAAAAGCCAGGGACACCAGTGGGGAGCAATAATAATAATGCTTTACAAGTATTGGATGTGTTCCAACTTTTAAAACATTCGTAACTTTTCCTTTGAACATTCCAAAGTGATTGATGGAATAAGTATCAACAGCCTCATTTTAGGATGAAGAGACAACAGAGATGCTGTGATGATAAATCAGTTCCCTATTAGAACATGAACAAGGACAAAGGAAGGACTGATACCTGGATGTTCAGGTATTATTCAACCCAGTAGTCCCCAAATCTGGTTACTTACTAGAATAACCTGAGAAGGTTATAAAATAACACAATTACCCCAACTCACCTCTGGGACTCTAATTCAATAAGCCTAGGTTGGAGCTCAGAGAATCTGTAACTTAAAGTAATTTTCCCCATAGTTGTTCTCAATTCGGAATTAAGAATTCTGAAGAATCACTGGGGAGCCTTAAAAAAAACCCATTGTCCAGGGGTGCCTGGCTGGTTTAGTCAGTAGAGCATGTGACTCTCGATCTCAGGGGTATGAGTTCAAGCCCCATGTTGGGTGTAGAGATTACTTGAAACAAACTAACTAACAAAAAACCCCATTGTTCAGATTATGCCCAGACCAATTAAGTCAGAATTTCTAGTGTTGGCAACCAGACATCACAGTTTTTAGATATCCCCAAGTGCTTTCAAATGCAACCAAAGTTGAGAAACACTGCTCTAGACCAGAACTTTCCAGTTTTCCAGAATTCCATTACAGCAAGTAGGAGAAGATGAGTATAGGATTGGGAGTGAAAAGAAGAAAATTCAAGTCCTGTTTCTGCCTCTGGGGAAAGTCACTTAATCTCTCTGAGTCCCAGTTTTCTATTTTATCAAATAAAGAAAGTGAGAGCACATATTTCTCAGAGATGCTGTGAGGATTAGATGAGATAGCATATGTGACATCACCAAATCCCATAATGTTACCACCAAATTCCCAAAAAGCTTGCTTGCTTGTTTATTTGTTTTTTTGTTTGTTTTTGAGAGAGACAGAGACAAAGAGAGAGCATGTACCTGTGTGAGTAGGGGAGGGGCAGAGGGACACAGAGAATCCTAAGCAGACTCCATGCCCAGCGCAGAGCCTGGCTCAGTGCTTGATCCCATGACCATGAGATCATGACCTGAGCTAGAGTCAGACACATCTCTGACTGAGCCACCCAGGTGCCCCCCAAATAGCTCCTTTAAAGAACGCATGGTGTTTTCCTCCAGATGTCTCTTTGTGTCTAAGGTTCCACCCTCGACCTTACACAGTCAGACTTCCAGGGCCTGAAGTGGCACTCCAAAGTTTCCACTAATGAAATAAAGTTTAGAAATTGGAGGTATGTCCTCAAGGCTTCTTTTTGCCATTGCTATTGGTGTGGTCAGCCCTCTGCATGCTAGAGTTATGAATCTGCCAGTTTGCTAAATGTTTACTCAGAAGGGCAATTTTGTTTTCATAATACAGGAACACTTCAGCTATTACTATTCACCTTCTCCATTCCTCCATCTAGCTCTTTGAGTTCCTCTGAATGTGCCCCCAAGCACCTCTTGTTTAGTCCCATTCAGCATATTAGTGAAGGTTCTAGTATGTGTTTCTTATTCAGTAAATGCTGAGTTCACTGTAACCCTGGCCCACTGGAGAGCAAATAAGCCATACTATAAACACCCACTCCCTGGCCTAACAATTTGTACTGGTTGGAACAGAATCTTCTAATATTAGGAATTGTAGTGTGAGGATCATTTCATAACCACAAACACAGGCAAAAGCAGTCATGAGATTATGGATGACTCATTGTCAAAGGAACACTTGAATCATCTTGATCAACCTCCTAGATGGATCAAAACTTCTGCACCAAACACACTGTGCCATTAGTCTTCTAATTGAGTGTTATTGCCGGTTTGTCTTGACCACATCAGACCTATTTTTAAACCTCTCACAGTTCGCTCCTCACTAAGTAAAATATTTTTTTTTGTGGATACCTTTCTCTTATTTCTTACATGTTTACTTGATCCTTTCTCAAACTAGACAGAGAGCTGAGGACTCGGATTATTTCTTATTTATCTTAAAGTAGTACCTGATACATGATAGGTGCTGGTACACACATATTACATAAACCACTAACCCTATGTTCTCTCCCAATGAAGGGGGGGGGTTTGTTTCTAATAGACTAAGGAAACTAAGATCAGCTTTATACCACTTTCTCTAGGTTCCATCAATCCAGAAATTCTGTCATGATGTGTATACTACATACATATTTTAGGGAGGGGAAGAGGAGAGGAGAAGGAATAGAGAGGGAGGGAAGAGGAGGGGAGAGAGGAGAGGATAAGAGAGAGTAGAGAAGAATAAGGCAGAGCAGAAGAGCAAGAGAAGGTGAGAGAGAATACCATGTGCTAGATCCCATTCTAGAATCGGGGATGCAACAATGAACAAAACAACCAAAAATACCTTCTCTCGTGGAGTTCTCATGTCTGGGTGTGTGTGAGAGTGTGTGTTGGAGGAACAGGGAGCAACACTAAAAAGTAGAGAAGTACAACATATCACTGTTACAGAGAAAGGTAAGTAGGATAAGGGGGTAGAGTACTACATGGAGAGTTGGAGGGCTGTTGGAGCTTTTAAATGTAGTGGGGAGGGAAGGCTTTGCTAAGATGAAATTTGGGAAAAGACTTAAAGGAAGTGATGTAGGAAGGCTTCAAGCTATTTGGCTAAAGAACATTCCAAGTGGAAAGAATGGAAAGTATAAAGTCACTCAGGTGGAAGAGAACCTGGAGAGTTCCCAGAACGGCATGGAGGCTGGTGGACCTGGAGTAGAGCAGGTGCAGGAAACACATAGGAGAAGAGACTGTAGGTGCAGCTGAGGGGGTAGGATGGGTGGCAAGGGTGGTTACAGGGAGTTACAGGGAGACTCAAAAATTACCCCCGAATGGTTTGATCTGAGCAACCGAGAGAATGGACCGAATTGCTGGCATTGAGAAGGAGACACTTACAGGAGAGGTTTCATGGTGGTGAAGGGGAAGATGATCTGTCTGCCTTCATCTATCATATATCTATGCCCTATTTTATATGAGATCAAAACTCAGAGAGGGTAAGTAATTTGCAGAAGTTCTCATAGCTAATATGTGCTGATATTGGGTTAGAAGCCAAAATCTTAGACGTCAACCCCCACTACTTTCCCTACCCAACAAAGCCCTTTTCATATATTATTACATTTAATCCTCACAACAACTTATCCCCATTTTTAATTTAAAAAAAAAACACACAAAAACCCTAAGTTCAGGGAATTTAAAAAACTGGCTTAAGTCATGTTGAGAAAGAGAACAGAGACTCAAATTTGCTTTCTGTTTCCACAACCTATATTCTTCCTATGAAACCATCCTCCAAATTTTCTATACCTTACAGGATGATGATAAGGATTAAGTGTATATAAAGTATACAGCACATGCAATGTCTGGCACACAGTATGTTTTAGATAAATGATAGTGGTTACTGATTGATGTAGATCTCATCTGTATATACTGTGTTCACCCCTAAGTTAATTAAAATATAGAGCTTAAATGAATTTCCCTCAGTCACACCAGAAATATCTATCAATATTTACTGAGTGAATCATGTAGGGTGCAATTGAGTATATTATAAACAACACTGCGTGGATACTTTCACAATGCATATTGGTGTTTCCAAGCAGAAGAAGCATAAAAGTAGGTGTACGTGTGACTGAGGAAAATGCATAAAGCTGTCAGAGTGCCTTTCAGTAAAAAAGATCAAGAGACTTGCCGAAGAGGCTTCTGCTCTGTTGCAGAGGATGCTTTGTCCATTTTTTGCTCCCTGGGAGCTCTTGCCTGTTATTACCCTGTGATTAATTCTGCAGTAAACCATTTGGAGAGTTGGCATGGAATCATTTGTTCCCCTCTCTGAAATGGGGTGATGGATTCATTAATTATTGTCTATATTCAAATTAAATTTTATGCATCCCCCTGCCAGGTCTGAGTATTTTTCTACCACACAGAATTTTCCATAAAAATTTTTAAAAATCCATAGAATTAGATGCTTTTCTAAGAAAAGAAGAGAGGTCTCAAATCAATAACCTAAGCTTCCATTAAAAAAAGAAAAACGAGGGGTGCCTGGGTCGCTCAGTTGGTTAAGCATCCGACTCTTGGTTTTGGCTCAGGTCACAATCCCAGGGTTATGGGAACAAGCCCTGCTTGGGGCTCTGTGCTGAGAATGGAGCCGGCTTAATATTCTTGCTCTCTCTCTCCCTCCACCCTTCTCCCTCTCTTGCGTGCACTCTCTTTATCTCTCTCTCTCTCTTGGAATAAAAAAAATTAATTTTTAAAAAAGAAAAACTGGAAAAATAGGAATAAAATAAACCCAAAACAAGTATAAAGAAGGAAATAATAAAGATAACAATAGAGACCAAAGAAATCAAAAAGAAAATGGAGAAAATCAGTGAAAACAGAAGCTGATTGTTTGAGGTTAATAATATTGATTAGCCTTTAGTAATACTGACAAAGAAAAAAGAGATAAGCCATAAAATACCAATATTAGGAATGAAAGAGGGGATATCACTACAAATCCCACAGACATTAAAAAGATATTAAGGGAATACTATGAACAACTCTATTGACACAAATTTGAAAACAGATGAAATAGAATAATTCCTTGTAAATGACACACTACCAAAACTCACCCAAGATATAATAGGTAACTCAAATAATTCTGTAACAAAGAAATGGAATTTGCAGTTAAAAGTTTCCAAAAAAGCAATCTCTAGGCACATATGGTTGCATTGGCAAATTATACCAAATATTTAAAGAAGAATTAACACTTATTCTACACAATCTCTTCCAGAAATTAGAAGAGGAAAGGACATTCTCAATTTATTAAGCCAACATTACCCAAATACCAAACCAAGACAAGGATAGCACTAGAAAAAAAACAAAACAAAAAGCCACTATAATCCAAATATGGCTCATGACCAGAAATATAATAAAACTCAATAAAATATTAAGGAATTGTGTATTTCAATATGCAAAATAAAATAATACACCATGACCAAGTGGAGATTGTGTGGAAATGTGAGATTGGTTCAATACTGGAAAGTCAGTAAATTGTAATCCATCATATTAACAATGTAACAAAGAAAAAAAATCACATAATTATATCAATTGATGCAGAAAAAGTATTTGACAAAATTCAACATTGTTTCTTGAGAAAGACTCTCAACAAACTCAGAACAGAAGAAAATTTTCTTAACCCTGTAAAGGATATCTATAAGACACGTAGCTAACGTCATATTTAATGGTGAAAGACTGAGTGCTTTTTTCGTAAATTTGGGGAAAAGGCAGGGATATCCGCTTTCACCACTCAACATTGTATTGGATTTTCCAGGCTATATAATACAGTAAGACAAAGAAATAAAAGTCAAACATATTTTCAGATGACATGATTATCTGTGCAGAAAATCTCAAGGAATCCATGACAGAGCTTTTAAACTAGTGAGTTTAATGAGGTTGCAGGGTACAAGGTCAACATACAAGAACCAAATGTATTTCTTTATACTAGCAATCAACAAAACTTTAAAAATTACATTGGTTCCAAATAAATACGTAGGTATAAGTCTAAAAAAACATGAACAGAGTCTATGCTGAAAACCACAAAAATAAGTGATAAATAAGTAATAAAATAAAGAAGACATAAATAAGTGAAAAGATATACTATTTATGGTTTGAAAGAATCAGCATAGCAAAGATGTAACTCTCCCCATGTTGATCTGCAGATCAAATCTCATTCTTATTTTTATAGACACATGTAAGCTGATTTTAAAATTTATATGGAGGGGCATCTGGGTGGCTCATTCAGTTGAGTGACTTACTCTTGATTTTGGCTCATCCAATGAGGGGCTCGATCCCATGACCTTAGGACCTGACATGAGCCAAAATCAAGAGTAAGACACTCAACCAACTGAGTCTGCTTAAGACTCTCTCTCTCTCTCTCTCTCTCTCTCTCTCCCCCCACCTCTGCTTCTCTCCTCTGTTCTCCTTCTCTCTAAAAAAATAAAAATAATTTTAAAAAATAATAAAATTTATGACATTTTAAAGAAAAAAAGGCAGAAAAATCTTTATGACTTGGGGTTAGACAAAGAGTCCTTAGATGTGATACTAAAAGCACAATCCATAAAATGGTGAATTCTATTTGAGCAAAATAAAAACCTTTTGCTCTGTCAAAAGACACTATTTGGAGAAAGAAAAGACAAGCTACAGACTGGGAGAAAATATCTGTGAATTACATATCCAACAAAGGGCGTGTATCTAGAATATAAAAAGGACTCTTCATAAGAAAACTACACAATTTTTAAAAAAACACTGTGTATATGAATTGGGAGGCTCAGCATAGCAAAAATTTAATTCTCAAATTTGTCTAGATTTTACTCAATTGAAATAAAAATTCCAATCGATCTGAAGGTATATAAAAGTTCATTCTAAAATTGATGCGGGAAAACAAAGGAACTAAAATCTTTCAAATCATTTCTACAGAAGGATAGGAAATATGCATATAAATAGTTAATTAGCCATTTGGGAAATACAGACTAAGACCACAATGAGATACTATTGCACATTTATCAGAGTAGGTAAAATTTTTAAAAAATATATTGATTGGTGCTGGTGAGGGTGTAGAGCAACTGGAACTCAATACATTGTTGGTAGCAAAAGAAAATAGCTACTCCAGACAGCAGTTTGGTGGTTTCTTACAAAGTTAAGCATATATATACCATATGGCCCAGCGATCCCATTCCTAGGTATTTGCCCTAGAGAAATGTGAACTTACGTTCACATAAAAATCTGTCCATGAATATTTATAGAAGCTCTGTTCATAATCACCAACAACTGGAAACACCCAAATGTCCTTCAAAGTGCGAATATATAAACAATATTGCATCTGTACAACAAAATACTATTCAGGGGTGCCTGGGTGGCTCAGTTGTTTAAGCATCTGACTCTTGATTTCGGCTCAGTTCACGATCTCATGGTTTGTGAGCTTGAGCCCCTCATCAGGCTCTGCACTAGCAGTGTGGAGCCTGCGTGGGTTTCTCTTTCTCCCTCTCTCTCTCTGCCCCTCCTCTGTTGTCTCTCTCTCTTTGTCTCTCTCTCCTTCCCAATAAATAAATAAACATTTAAAAAAACCCAAAATACTATTCAGCAATAAAAGGAATGAATTATTTGTACACAAAATAATTTGGATTGATCTAAAAGGCATTATACCTATTTAAAGAAGCAAGAGTTTGCATACTATATACTTTTATTCATATGTCATTCTATAAAAAACAGAACTATAGTGACAAGGAAAAGGTCAGTTATTTCCAGGGCTAAGGAGAAGGAAAGTGACTCACTACAAAGGGATAACAGAAGGAAAATGTTTTGGAGCAAAATGTGGAACTATTTTCTACTTTTATTGTGGAGGTAGATAGATTCAGAGATCCCTACATGTGTTAAAACTCATAGAACTGTATGCAAAAAGGCAATTATATATGTTAATTTAAAAATAAAGTAAAATAATTACT